GAATCTACTCAGAGCTTTAATTTCACACAAAGGGAACATGCAAGAACCAAAAACAGGCTGGCTACTGAGTTAAGAGCTTGAACAGAACTAAATGCCACAAATTCTCATGCAATTCCACAGACCTCTGTGGTCAGCCTGCAGAAGACCAGAAGGTCAGGCCTCCTCAAAGAGGGACAGCGACTCCCACGGAGGGGGAGGGAGGGTGACTTCCAGGGGTCTGCAAGAATGGTTCAGGGAGCATTCATGTAAAAGGAGACAGACTGGAAGTTTGAGGGTTAAGAGCCCATGACAAAACTCCTTCTTAGTCAAGCAGTCTCTGCTTGTCATGCAGATTTTCTACTTTTGCTGCAAGGAAGAGAAAAATAATCAGCAACCTTTTCTATTTAATCTTTTAGCTTGACATCTTTTCCAACATGTGTATGAAGGGACCTCCACCCCTTTCAACTGCAAGGGGAAGATAAAAGGATAAAACAAATGACTCAAAACAGAGGGCATATTTTTTCTAAAGCTCCGTAGGAATTGTACCTTTTATTCAATATCATCAACAAGGTACAGCAGCATTATGCTTTGCATTTAAACCAAATTTTGTATGCATATTAGGATATTCCACTTTACGTTGCTTCTAAAATACAAACCCATCAATTTTCACATGCATTGTTATCATTCTTTAAAGCTTGTAATCATGCTTCAAATAGTTAATTAAACAGTACACAGTATTTTAGACTTTTTTTTTTTTTAACAGATCAGTAATGGTTAGGGTCTTATATATACTTAGTTTTATAATGAGCTTAGGATCAAGATGCCAGGCACCATGACTTAAACTCATGCACCCAAACAAGCAAGCAGAATAAGAATGCTTACCATCTTGCACTACAGAATTACATGTAGAGCAATTGCTGCTGTAGGAGACAAAAAAATATATTGTATTACTGGAAAGCAGAGTAAGATCTAATAAGCAGGATCAACATGGTTGCACAAAGGGAGCAGACTAGAGTATTTGTGTGCCCTGTGCGTAGGCTATCAACTTCCAGCCATACTTGTGCTCTTAAAATACATAGCAATTTGATTTTAGTTTTTCAGTGGGCAAATTTTTCCATTTCTTATCAAAATCAGAAAAATAATTTCAGTTTCTTCCATCTTAAAAGTTCAAAGCTGGACAAATATTGCACCTGGCAAATTTTCAAGATTTTTCCTCTGATTTCTCTTTAGAAACACCCGAAGTGCTAGCTTGAAAGTGAAAGAATGGAGATCCCGCTAGAAACATCACAATGATTCCCACTACCATGAAACAAATGCCAGGTATGTTTGTTCTGGCAGACATACACCTAAATTACAGTATCATGTATGTAGAGCACAGAATAAAGAAAATATCTGCACAAACTAGCTACGAGTCAGAAGTCTGATTTTCTCAAAGAATCTATTCCAGCAAGAATAAACATCCCAAAGCTATCCACAGATCCCAAGACCCCATTTGTCACGCTCCTGATAACACAAAGGGCACTTTCATAAACTCCTTTCCCCCAGCTCTCTAAAAACTCCAGCCCCGCAGCTCTCTAAAAGCAGATGAAAATAGTTTCACTCTTCCAAGCATCTCCATTGCTGTCTCTTTAAATGTAACTTCCTCAAACTCCAGTGCAGAATCCAGCTCAGGATGTACTTACTCATCTGCTGGATGACTGTCAGAATTAGAGTGACTGCTAGCTTTAACCAAGGATTAATTGCTGCTACCTAGGTGGCAAGCTGAAACTGTGAGTATGCTTTTTTTTTTAGAGAAAAAGCAGGGTGCAAACAAACTCCCCAAAGTAAAAGCTGCTTGTTCTAGGGTAGATATAGAACTTGGCTACCCAAAGAAAAAGTCTCAAACATCCTTCCCCTGTCTGAAGTCATCACAGAATCACTGCTGGTTTAATGCACGGAAGTTTAAGAAATTATAGGCAGGCCTGTAAATGACTCGAAGCCTCTCAGGCTGGTACCTGCCCAAAGCTGAGCAGCGTACTGAGCACGCTAGGGTTTGCTCTCTCAGCGTTAGCACTCTTGCATTTCCTACAGTTCTCCAGCAAAGGCTTGGAAGAAGTGTGTAAGTCTTGTTTGCAAATCCATTCAATTTTATTGCAACTCAGAAACCAAAGTGACCTAGTTTTGATGAGCTGACTCAAAATTAATTCACTTCTAAGATGATGCTGCGGAGCATCAGAAGTGAGAGGGGAACACCCCTCTGCCTGTTTTTATACTTGGCACTGTAAAATGCTGTTAAACATCTGTCCCTTCAGCACCCTGGGATTAAAGGTCACATCAGAGAGACACAACCTCAACTCCGCAGGGATTACAACAGCAGTTCACAGCTCATGCACTCAGATCCCATGGGGAATGCCGAACTATTTTACAGGCGGGAAGCAAAGACATGTGGGACTGATAAAAACATGCAAGTCAAATGGGTCTATCAGAGGGCTTGCAAGTTTGTATTTCCAGTTTCTGGTTAGATGTACACAGTGCTGAAGGGATACATAAAAATCTCTTCTGTCTTAGAACAAATCAAGGTGGATGTAGCACAAGAAATGTGACATTTATATTCCCACACAATGTCCAAAAGCACATCCATGCACTTACATACAAAGCAACTTTTTTTTTTTTGTCGTAACTATTTGTTCATAGGAATTTTGACAAAATTTCATAAAAACTCTACCAAAATTTAGTACAATGCAAACATCCTGAGTATCTCCTGAAGACAAGTCTTCTCAACACTTTTAAACAGTCTGCCATCTACATTCATTACATTTTTTTTTAATGAAGGAGACTGACAGGTATTTTGGTTTACCCTATTTCTCTTTTCTAATTTGCTTTAACATGACTTTCTGTCATTGAAGGGAGTATTTTTATCCTTCCTACTTTTCTTTCTGGAGCAGCACGTTTCTCAATTTTAACGCCTCAGATCATATTGTTGCACAACTGCTCCTTCCTAGGACTCTAGAAGAGGAATGGGTGGACACAGCACAGTGAAGTTTGCCTTTCTCATTTCCCATTTCTTGGCAAAGGTTGAGCTGTCATGGACTTACAGCAATTCCCATTTCTGTGACTTCTGATCTGATTTTGCAGATAGTAGTCAAAACGATTGAGGCCAGTGCCTTAAGTTAAAGTGGAATTCTGGTCAAATCTGTTTTTCACAGGTCAGTGCTATCAAAATCAGTACCAGCAATACATATGTAGTTCATACCCTCAAGTCTGTAATTGTGACTCTCTAGCATGTTACAGAGGGAATAAAATTTCTGTAGAACAGCAGAGGCAGCCAGACCCAAATCTCTTATTTTATTTAACTATGGATCGAAAGAGGAACATTTGTCCTACTCCCTTCTGAGGAGTTTTCATTACAGAAGTTCCAGGCTATATGCATTATTTACCACATAGCAGATGCTGTTCAAGTTTCTTGTCCCCATTAGCCATCGGTGGACTGCCAGCCCACCACAAACTGACACACATTCACTGAGCTGAGCAGTAATCTAATCAAGGTAACTTTTATGACACAGAAAGCTAATGCCTAGGACAACGAATAACTTCACCCAGATAATGTTTTCTATTCAGAAAGCTTTCCACCTGTGCCCAATAGATATTCCTTCCTCCCCAATCACAAACTAACTTCCTCTGCAGTGTAGACACTTCTCCACTAGAAACACACTTCACTGAAGCCAGTATCATAAAACAGAAAGATTATAGACTCTGTATTTACAAAAGCCACTTCCTACAATTTCATTATCTCCCAACCACGACTATTTTAAAAACACTCAGCCTGACCACACAGGCTCAGAGACTTGTCCCTGTTCAACCAGAAAATGACAGCCAGTGGGATGTAGCAACTCATCACCAGGTAACACAAGATTTACTTGCCTGCCAAGGTAAATCTCCCTCCCACCTTGGCAGAGGTTATACTTTCCCTCAGAACCATTTCCTTTAACATGCTGGCTAATCCATTGAACAGATATTTACTGCTTTTAGCATGCAACACTTATAAACACTCCAGCACCCCAGAAGCTCTATATACCATCTTTGGCAATTACTATGCTGTTTCCCAACTGCAGCTGGCTCTAAGCACCCCCATCCTGTGTATCAGGACCTGCAGACTCAGCCATCACCATTCCTATATTCCAAGTGACAGCCGAAGCCTGTCCCAAACACACCAGCAGGTACCAACTCCCAGAATGGGCAGAGCATGAATTCTGGCTGAGCAGTCTGGCAGCTGTAAGACCCGAGTGATATACCCTTTACAAGCACAGAGGTCTCTGTGACCCTAAGAGGGGATTTCTACGATCCAGGTTCATCACCCACTGTGGCTTAAGTACTTTTAGTGCCAGCTAACTGTTTCAGATATCCGTCCCTGTGAAGTAATAAAGGCTGAAAGAATCCATGTGTCACACCCACCCTTTACACACCAGCAGCTTCTCCCTGCACAATCAGACCGCAGCACCCACAGTCTCCCCACACTGGGCTAGTGTTGACAGCCAAGGCTGGCTTGGACTGGGGTCTCGGGTCCCAATTCTGACCCCACCATCGGCCTGATGCCTTGCATGGCACCTGCCAGGGCGAAAGGACCACCTTTTTCTCTCGGGTACAGGCCACATCGCGAGGGGCCCTCCAGCTGGAAGGGAAAGCCGCGGCTCCTGCAGGAGACTGCCGCCTCGGCGTCTCCCCACAGCACGGGAGAAAAAGAAAGAAAAAACCGCTCCCTCCGGCCACAGCTCCGCCAACCCCGCCCGCACTTGCCAACCGTCTCCCGAGCGGGGCGGGACAGAACAAAAGCACCGCCGGGCGAGGGGGACAGCACCGGGAGCACCCCCCGGCCCGCACCCACGGCCGCTTCGCCCCTCAGCGCCCCCGCACCGGCCCTTCTCCCCTCACGGACCTGCCCTCCCGCCGCGGGGAAGGGCCCCGCCGGTGCGGCGGAGCGCTGCCAGCCCCCTCCGCCGGGGCGGGCCCGGGGGTCGCCGCCGCCCTCGCCGCCTCCCCCTCACCTCTCTGCCGCCGCCGCCAGCGTCGCAGGCCCAGGGCCGCCGCCGCCGCCACCTCCATCCCGGGGGCCTCGCGGCCCCCCGATTCTCTAACACCGCCTCCGCCCGTGCAGGGGCCGCCCCCGCCCGTGCCGGGCCGCCCACTGCGTCAGCTTCGTAAGGGCCGCTACGCACCCAGCGGTCACCATGGCGACGGCTGGCAACGGGAGGGGAGGGGGGGGGAGCGCGTAAGTACGGGAGGCGGCGGCGCCCCCTGGCGGGCCTGAGGCGGCGACGCTGGCAGGCCCGGCCTTCCCGCCGCGGGCAGAGGGGAGCGGCCGGGGCGGCAAGTAACGCGGGGCTGTTAGTAGCCCGGCCGTCCTCACCACACCTCGGGGACACCCGAGCTCGGCTAGGGTGCCCCTCACTACCACCCTCCGCATCCCCCCTGCGTGGCACCAGAGCCGCAGCCCGCTGAGGGAGCCCCCTTCCCTCCCATTGCCAGCCCTCATGCAGGGGGGTCCATCCCAGCCCTGCAGCCTGTGGGAGCCAGAGCCTCCCTTGTCCCACTCTGGGCGTCGAAGCAGCTTTATTCCCTCAGCAACACCACCCACTGCTCTCAAAACCACCTCTTGGATGGAACCCGGCGCACCTGGCCCTCCCAACCAACACCTTTTCCCTGAGAAAAGCCCCCCAGCACAACATGGATGCCTCCCTCGCGGACCCCGCGCTGCTGCAGCCTCCCCAGGCACACACTTGGCCTGCTGCTTTCAATGCCCAGCATGGACAGCAACAGTTTAATTACCACTAGGACTTGAAACTTAATCACCTCTTAATCAAAGAAAAAGCTTCAAACTATAACGTGACTGAAATGGAAATAAGGTTTTGTCATCTGTAGCTGCTTACAGCTCTGTGCGGCCCAGCCGGGCAGTGCTCTCGTCAACTGCCTCCTTACACTTACCAACAAAATCCTTGCAAGGGTGGGCTCGCCCAAACATCATTCCCCAGGTTATCGCACGTGGATGGAAAAAAGGACAGCAGTGGCCCTGGTCAGACACAGCAGTAGCCTCAACGCAGCAAGTACTGAAGTATCAGCCAAGGACGTCATTTAGATACTCTTGGCGCAAAAGACTAGAAAAGTAACCAAAAAAAGAGTCTCCTGTGGGTAGAAATACATGTCCCAGAAAACAATTAAGCTCATCCAGCAGGGGATAGCAGCACATACCTCTCTGTCCATTCTTCCTTAAATCAAGAACAACAGCCTTCAAATGGTCTGCTCGGTGATATCACAGTGCCTTGAAAATAAAATAGCCTGACAGTACTATAGGTGGCAAAAAAAAAAAAAAAAAAAACATTCAGCAAAAGCTTTGACGCTCTGGTATTCATTTATACTGAGGTCTTTGTATACCGTTCAGGCAAAAAAAGTCACACTCCCGGTCATTTTAAGTCCTTTTATCTCACCAGACAGGTGTAAAGTGGCTCTGATTTAGATGAAAAGCTGATGCCAAATATAGTATTTGGACAAATCATTTTATCCTGCATGTGGCACTTCCAAGGTCTTCCTTTAGCACGAACCGCCCTCAGCAAAGCAGTGCCAATCCGCTGGGCAGGGCAGCACTGCAACCTAGGAGCAGACAGAGGGAAGAATCTCAGGAAAACTATGACTATTTTATTAATGAAAATACAATCAGTAGCTGTTCAAGACTTTCAAAATTCAAGTGGTGCTGTAGAGTACATACCAGCCCAGATCCTGCCAATTAATGTACACAAGTCATCACGGGTAATTAATCTCATACAGCTCAGGCTTTCTGCTTGCAAGCAGTCCCAGCTGTCTGTATCTAACTCAGCACCACAAAAGAGCTGCCTGTTAGCAAGGGCCAGACCGTATTTATAGCACAGCTCCAGCAACAGAGTACATCACGGCTATCGACAGTTCTTTCTTTCCAGACTCCTATATGGCAGTAGCACAATTTACAAACAAATTTGGACTTTGTTTTGTGTAAGCCTGTTTCCTTAACACTCCCTCAAGCGTTAAGGGAAGGACTTAACATCCCTCAGAAATCCCCCGTCTCTGCCCTCATGCGAAGGGCATTGTCCTCTATGGCTGCATGCGAGGGCGGGTGGCAGAGCACTCGGGGTAATAACTACTTGTCAGAAAAAAAGCTGCTTGATTAAGACATTAATGGGAGTGTGTTGCAAGAGAGACTGGATGTTTAAGCCCCAGAGAACTGTTTTAGCCCTGCTGAACCCAGTCCCCACCTACATCCTCCATAGCAAGAACATTAACTTAAGAGTTTCCTAACCTGGGGAAAAAAAAGAGTTTGGGTTTGAGTGCCCAGGGCATTGGCGCAGAGAAGTACATGCATCAGTGACAAGTCCTACATCTTAGGGATGTAGGAGAGCAGAATTACAGCATCAAAGATACATATATCAGCTGGGTTATCTCAGCGGATAGCTCAGATACATGACTATTAGGGTGCACTTACACAGCCTGCTTTATTGCCTCTCCATCAGGACATCACCTCCACTGACACACCACCATCAGTTTCACAATAAAACCTTCAAGCAGCAACACTGGCTTAATAAATTGCCAGCCCTCACCATTCCTACTCACCCTTGGACTGTTCTGTACTGCTTGTGCAGTGAAGCTTGGCTGAAGAATAACCCAGGAACATGAGGGCAGGGAGCATTTTCTGCGTCGTTGTTTAAGCAGGAGCAGGTCATACCTCAGCCACACTTCAGGGATGGCACCGAGCTGGTCTGTCACCACCACCTTGGAATTACTGATGCCAGCTCTCTGGGACAAGCGAAAAGTCCAGACAGCTGTAGGCAGCCTTGGCGGTGCACCAGAGATCTCTGTAACACGCGATCAATGAAGAACCCATCCATCTTTGCTGATCTTGGGGTCCTAGAGAAAGCCACTGGGATTCTGGGGTTAAGAATCACATTCTCCTAAAGCTAAAAGCAAAACAAGCCCCTCTCCAGAAAATCTGAAAAAGTAACAAGGCTCTGAAATTTATACACCCATGAGCCTGCAGCTACCAAAAATAGCTGTGTACATGGGAAGCTTTTTATTATTATTGTTATTATTATTCAGTTTGTTTTAGTTACCACCACCCCCAAGCACATCACATCCAATTGCACTGCTCTTAAATCCTGCTCCTGCTTGCCACCTAGTCAGAGCCAGACAGTTTGTTACTCCTGTGGTAACGAGCCCCTCTCCTCCTCAATCCTAACCCTGCCAGTTTCCCTGAACTGCTCCATGAGGATTACAATAAAATCATAAGAAAAAAATATTAACAAGCCTACATGGGATCTCAGAGAGCACAGCAGTCTCCTTGACACAGCAGTTCAAATGTCCAGGCTACCCAGCTGCCTTCTGTCTCCTGTTCAAGCCCTGCAAAACACCAAACCAAGGTGAGCCCCATCAGCTGCCACGTTCGTCTCTATTTTCTTGCAGGGTAAAACTCCCTTGAGGTCACTTGTTGCATTAGCACAAACTCTCACCATCAGGTGATCATCCCACAGCTTCTTCCACCGCATGCATTGGGAAATAAAGCCATCCCTTTGCTGCTTGTGACAGCTTCTCTGCAGCAGAGGGTACGGGATGCCTGAGCAGTTTGCAGGGAGAAACCAGACTCCAGCCCTTGCTGAGGATCCTCTGGATGATGGTTGCTATTTCACGTGGCTGAATTCAAAGGGGTGACTGCAACAAGAGTCTTAGCAAGATATTTCTGTAATTCTCAGAGGGAGGGTCAATGGGGACAGGCCATCACCAAAAGGTGAACAATAACATTACCCCAATATTCCCTTCAGAGGCAAACATCCCAGTACCTCACACCCCCCCCCCCCCCACTCTCTCAGGAATACCAGTCAACCATGTTTCCATAGAAAAGTACCACCAAATCAGAGAAACGCCACACTCTGTTTCCTTCAGATGATGCCAATGCCAGATACAACCAGAATTTGGGAAGTGCTTTTAAAACCAAAAGCCAGAAGGATTCCTGTCCCCTGTTTCTATCGCAGCAAGGATGAAGCGCCCGTGATAGCTGTGCCTCCTAGCCTGGTTGTCAGCTGTCCTTCACTGCCCAGCGTGACTCCTGCCTGCAGTTAGCCAGAGCCATCAGACTCCATCACCTGCTACCAAAGTGTTTCTAAACCGGTGCCTTCAGGCTGATCCTGCTTGGCTTCGGAGAAGCTCCTCACATACCAGCTACCCAGGTCCTTCATCATCCACCATCAGTTCTCCTCAGAAGCCTGCTCTGCCTTGATGCCCACAGAAGCAACTGGAATCCCAACACACAAAGCCACCACCTCACAAACAGACCCTCGGTCTTCTCTTTCCTCCCTTTCCCATCTCCTGCACAGGCACCATAAAGCTCTCAAGGCAAGGACTAGCGGGTGCTAATGCCCCCACAGCAGGACCAGCTGCTGCAGCACTGCAGCTAAACAGCATTACTCAAGTCTTAACTAAAAATCACTATCCTAATGAAGGTCCTCCTCCTGTGCTCAACATGTTTGCAAAAAAAAAAAAAATCTCCCCCAAGCTGGGTCAGAGACTTCAGTGGTTCCTCCATGCACCAGGACATGTCTTGGAGGGGCACCACACTGCTGTGCCAAGCACAGTCACCCCCCCACCACACCGTGCTCAGGACTCAGCGTCCCCTCCTGTTTAATAGTGCTCATCAGCATTTTACAAGTGTACTGACAACAGCAGCACCCATGTAAAGGCCCAGAAAGTTGCATAAATCCAAGCAGGGATACTGCTGGTTCAAATACTCCACATGTAATGCTGTCAGAGCACCCCAGGAGAGGTGTTTGGTTCCTGGTGGGGAAAAACACTCTCACACAATGAAAGCTGGGTGCCTTTCCCCACCCATTTGTGCCTTTCAAAAGGCAAGAGGTTGGTCTAACATGGAGCAGCCCAGGTGGCTGGATTCACTCCTGTCCCACCCTGTGGGCCTGAACCCCTAAAACCAAGTTAATTCCTACTGTAAGCTAAGGCTCCTTTCAGAGACGAGACCTCTCCAGCCTCAGCCAGCCTAACCTAGGGACAGATGTTCTGGAGACAAGCTGAAAGTACAAACTCAGGCTCTTGGACTGACAC